TATTTATGCACAGATAAACAGAACTGTTTTTAACCTGGATTTGAACATGTTCAGAGAAGAAGCCTGTCTCTCATTTTCAGGGAGACTGTTCCAGATTTTTGCTGCATATACTGGACATGTGTTTGAATGAGACGTTTTAAACCTAGGAAACTTATTTGACAGTGGCTCTGTTGTAGCCTGGTCGTACCACACCATAGTACAAATTACATTTCATACTAAGGTCTGGATGTGCTCCATTGAGCTTCGTTTACAGGTGGGAGGGGTTAACTCCTTTTGCAGATTGAAACGATTGGATGGATTTAGCCATTTCCTTTGCGGCTAACGGAGCCCGTGGGGAGTAGCGCCACAATCTTTGCCAGCAACAACTTTTTCTATACATTCCTCTTGCTCCGGCTTCAATTTCTTGATAGAACCAGACCAGATTACTTTACTATCGCATTCTTCGCCATTGCCAAACTACAACCTGCCCCGTTCGGCGCAAACTCTTGACGTCAAGCACAACTAACTCTTGCGCTCGCTGAATGGTCGGTCAAAATTCAACCTATGTAATTGGAAACACAGGGACCAGACCCAGACGTAACATAGGGGGAAATGATGATTGACCGGAGTGTACGGATGGCTAAGGCCAGGCTAGCTCAGTTGGTAGAGCCTTGGCCTTTGAGCCTGAAGGTCGTGGTTTTGGGCCCACCGCAAGACCTTCTCCGCCAACTCCCACTGATGTCTGCTGTCGTTGTGTCCAGACACGTAACCTCTGGAATTACCAGCAATTACTTTGCCTATAAGGAGTATGTGTATTCATCCAAACTGAAATTTCCCCAAAGTGGGACGAATAAAGTACCTTCTTCTAAACAAAGACATGGGAAGAACATTACCTTGTGCTATCTTTGGGTCAAATTGAAAAAATATACAAATATATATTAAACTGAATTATGATGAGCTTGACCAGCCCTGGTTAATTTGGACCAGGGGTGTCCAAACTTTTTAGTACGAGGGCCACTTTAGTTCATCAGACTTGACTTGGGGCCGACAAACTAGATTTACAAAACTGGATTTGAGCTGGATTGACTGGGTTGTATGTAGAATGTTGTGACACAATGATAAAACAAATGTCAGTGTATAACAATAGAGTCAACGAGTGGATCCCAGAGAGTCGCCTCAACGGTGACTTTGTGTTAGCGGCAGAGGGCTACATAAAATGCTACAGTGGGCCGCAATTGGCCCACGGGCCTGAGTTTGGACATGCCTGTTTCTAGACCCTTTTCGATCCTAATATAGGGTCTTTTTCTTCGACTTTTATTCCCTGTGGCGTGTAATTACGACTCGAAGGTAGCACAAGTGGCCCTATCTCCTGTCTCTTATTGCCAATGTAAAGAATATGGTTGTGTATTTTCTAAACTGTTTTGCTGACCCCTTAATATCTCTGACCCCTGGAGGCCGTAGCTGCCCCTCCACCGCTGTATTTTTCCCCCGCTGCTGTCACATCCCTGTCTGACCCACTTAGCCCCTCATCTTAAACAAACATGGCCCAGAACGGCTCCACGTATCTGGGTTAGATGTCGCTGTGTGGCCCCCGAGAGCTTTTGGGACCAATCTGCTGTAGCATGTCGCACACAGAGAAAAATCAGCTTTGCATCGTCCAAAAAGAGAAATGGAGCAGAAGGGAGCGTCTGCCTGTGCCATTTATCATCACAAATCTGCTTTAGAGTCGTCCTCCGAAAGATCTCGCCACCGACGCGGACGCACCAGATAAAGAGAAAGCCATATTGGAGACGAGATTAACCTTGAGACTTCAGACACAATAAAAAGAACGTCTTATCGCGATTCAAGACAGAAAGGTGCAGCAGTGACTCATGCCGATGTGATTTAGAACGAGATCTGATGCTAGGAAATGTGTGGAGAAGTAATATACTTTATTTAAACTTGTTTGGCTTTGAGGTGAGCTGGACCTTTTTCCATCTTTCACTTTCTTTGTCTTGGACAAAGAAAATGCATATGAATGTGAAAACTAATGATAGAACCGTACTGTTTTGATCCATCTAACTGGTCTCTCGGCCTCAAAACGTTCCGCTTTTTTGTGGGGTTTAGAAGTTAGATCCACGAAGGAATGCAAACTAATCTTTGAATCATAGGAGTAATGGCTTTCCACATATTCAATCTATGGATCTTTTATTAAATAATTGATCAAACTGAGCTGGTCATCAGTTTTTTTGGTCTGAAAGTCGAAGAAGACTAATCTACTGATGCTGTGGTTGATGTTCTGTATTTTATGTGAACGCTGTAAAAACTTGTTTTGTGGTTTATGCGGTTAACTGACAAAAAAAATGCTTCTTCTGCTAAACCATGAAAAAAAAAATCTTTGGTTTTGTCTATAGTCTGAACATAAGGAGTGGACTGACCCAGGGACGTCGTCATAGTGTTAGCTTTATGTGGAATGCAAGGATAATGCCATGCAGCTTTGAACAGAAGCTACACAAATACACTTGCCTGCATTAAATAGAAAGGTGCTCGGTTAAAGCTGGGGTCCTAACCTTATAAAAAAGATATACAGTACAGACCAAAAGTTTGGACACACTTTCTCATTCAATGAGGTTCCTTTCTTTTAATGACTATTGACTGTAGATTCACACCAGGCTGTGTAAGGGCTATTTGACCAATAAGGAGAGTGGTGCATGCTGGGCCAGCTGACCCGCCCTCCACAGTCACCGGACCTGAACCATATCCAGATTGTTTTGGGGTGAGCTGGACCACAGAGTGAAGGCGAAAGGGCCAACAAGTGCTAAGCATCTCTGGGAACTCTTTCAAGACTCTTGAAGACCATTTCAGGTCACTACCTCTTGAAGCTCATCAAGAGAATGCCAAAAGGTGCTACTTTAAAGAACCCAGAATATAAGACATATTTTCAGTTGTTTCATACTTTTTCTTTTTAGGTATACGCACACAATTCCACATGAGTTAATTCATAGTTTTGAGGTCTTCAGTGTGAATCTACAATTTTGATAGTCATGAAGATAAAAAACTCTTGAGATGGGTGGATGTGTCCAAACTTTTGATCTGCACTGTATATTAAACACTATTACACAATATTCTGAGTAGTAGATACTGTGTAGTATTTTGTCAAACACAAATGTTAGTGAACCAAGCATAAGTTCATGAGGTAAAGATTCAGAAATAGAAGCAGGTGGCAGACTGAGGTGGTGCTAAGTTTTGGAGAAACACTTCCTTCTCACCCTCCATCCTTCACCTCCGCCGCCTCTGGCTTTTTACAGCTGTCTGTTCACTTCAGACCTCGACATCGTGTAGTTTTGTGTTTCTTCAGATTTAACACAGGGAGTATCTGGGAATGTGTCCCATTAGCTATAAAGAAACAATTAGGGCCATTTGACAATTTCTTGTCAAAAACCTTGTTCTTCTCTTTTGGAAGAACAAACTGATGCGGCTTAGAAACAGTAACAGAACCAGCCCAGAACCAGCACAGTGGAGAAAGGGGCTTTATCGGTCATAGAAAGTTGGTTACCAAACTTAAGAAAGTTTGGTAACCAACTACAGCAAAACGTGAAAGTATAGACTAGAGCAGTTCACTTAATTTCAGTGTATCTATCTAATCCCACCGTTATATTTTTGTCCTCATACAGGCAGAAGTCATTACTTGTCATTAATATAATTGTTCTTGTTTCAAGAAATCTTGACAAGTGGAAAAATGATGATCTACTGGCTGTTACTTTTGCTCAAAACTCGTTAATTTCATCTCATAGTAGTTTTGTTTCTTGAGGTTTTCTAGCCACTTTTTCCAGTGCATTTAGTAAAAAACGGTAGAACTCACATTTCAAAGATAAAAGATAATTTAATACAAATAATGACATGGAAATTATGAGTAATGTGTCACGTGGTGGAAAAGAGGAAGGATTCATAATGCAGAAATGCAGGAAAAATTATGATTTAATGTTGATAATAGTCCAGAGATAAACAACCTGAAAAAACCAAACAGGAACCAGGAAAACAAAAGACAATACTTGACAAACATTGACAATACAATGGACCAGCAACAAGGAGAGAGAAGCACAGGTACATATAGACACAGACACAGGTGAGACACATCAGGGCGGGGCCGACCATCAAGACAGGGGACCAGGACAGGAAGTCAAACTAAAAACAAACCTTAGAGAACAGATGTCAAAATAAAACCAAAGTATAAAATAACAAAATCTGTCTTCGTCCCACGGTGGGGTAATGTCAGTGTTGCATCTCCAGTTACCCGTTAAAATCTGCTCTGGGGATTCTAAGTAAGTAAGTAATCTTTATTCATATAGCGCCTTTCACAGACCAGAGTCTTAAAGCGCTTCACAACTGTTGTTTTTAAGGAATTTTGTCTCTCTCTCCACACAGAGATGGGAGTAAGGTCGCCAGTACAGGAGTAGTGGTAGGGGAAACCTGAGCACCTGGAGGAACCCTATGGAGACACGGGGAAAACATGCAAACGCCACTCAGAAAGGCCCCGTTCTGACCCACCTCTACTGCTACATACTGTATTTAAGGAATCAGACGTTTAAAGAAGAATGCAAAAGCTGCCTCCGCCAACACGGTTCACACATTTCCTCGGATGTCATTATTGTGCTAATATATTCGCACTTCTTTATCGGAGGGAGACTATTTATTGCGCTCTTCATCTTTACAATGCAGCGCGACAATAAATGTTGTTTTGAGCTTTCCAGATAACGACCTCGCTTATTATTCAGGTTCTGTTGTTTTTGCTGCGATGGCGTCGACGCGATCAAGGATGCTGCTCATGTGTCGAGGAGAGAGAGAAGCAGAGAGAAAAGTTCTCACTGAAACCGACAGAAAGGGAACAAATGTGTGTGTTAATCTAAAGAGAGCGTTGTGTATCTCTGACCCAAACTTCAGTCACCAGACTTAAAGCTGGGGAACCTAACTTTCAAATCACTAAACAATTGAACTGCAGGACGTTTATTGATTATTATGGACAGTGGTCGTTTTCTTTGACTCTACTGCTGTTTGTGATGGTGCTGAGAGAAGATACAGAGGAGGAGGTGGAGTATGAGGAGGAGGAGTATGGGGTGGAGGGGGAGGTGGAGGAGAAGGAGGACCATGGGGAGAGTAGGTGGAGGAGAAGGAGGAGTATGAGGAGGAGTAGATGGAGGAATATGAGGAGGGGGAGGATGAGGTGGACGAGGAGCAGGAAGAATATGAGGGGAAGGAGATGGAGGTGAAAGTGAAGAAGGAGGTGGAGGAGTATGAGGAGGAATAGGAGGTGGAGAAGGAGGAGGAGTATGAGGAGGTGTAGATGAAGGAATATGAGATGGAAAAGGAGGAGGATTATGAGGAGGTGTAGATGGAGGAATATGAGGAGGATAAGGAGGACGAAGAGGGAGTATGAGGAGTAGATGGAGGAATATGAGGAGGGGGAGGAGGAGGTGGAGGAGGAGCAGGACGAATATAAGGGGAAGGAGATGGATGGTGAGGTTGAAAGTGAAGGAGGAGGTGGAGGAGTATGAGGAGGAATAGGAGGTGGAGTAGATGGAGGAATATGAGGAGGAGTAGGTGGGAGGAGTAGATGTAGGTTTATGAGGGGGAGGAGGTGGAGGAGGAAGTAAAGGAGGAGGTGGAGGAGTATGAGGAGGAATAGGAGGTGGAGAAGGAGGAGTAAGAGGAGTAGATGGAGGAATATGAGGAGGGGGAGGAGGAGGTGGGGGAGGAGCAGGAAGAATATAAGGGCAAGGAGATGGAGGTGAAAGTGAAGGAGGAGGTGGAGGAGTATGATGAGGAGTAAGTGGAGGAATATGAGGTGAAGGAGGTGGAGGAGTATGAGGTAGAGAAGGAGGAGGAGCATGAGGAGGAGTAGACAGAGGAATATGATGGGGAGGTCGACAAGGAGAATGAAGAATATAAGGGGGAGGAGGTAGAGGAGAAGGAGATGTATGAGGAGTCGAAGGAGGAGGTGGAGGAGAAACACAGCAAGCATGTTTGTTTTTAACCAGTTTCTGCTCATTACAAGATCCATCCACACTGATATTAGGAGCTTCAAATTGAGGCAACGGGGAGGAGGAGGGTGGCTGCACGAACCGAAGCTTGGGCTGTGTAGCAGAGGCAGAGACCATATATCTCTCAGTCTGAAATTCTGCTTTATTTAAGTTTTTCCAGTGAAGGAACTAGAATCTTCCGGAAGTCGACAACACAGATTCTACAACACAGGAAGTTTTTGAGCCGATTGTGTTGGAGCTGAAGTTGGCTGGATGACATTACCCGTGTTTATGATCTCAGCAGCTGCTTTAGATTTGAAAGACAGCGAGACTCATGACGCGATGACGTGAGTATTGAGCTCAAAAGCCGTCGGCAGAAGTAAAAAATGCTAAACGCTCATGAGTCTGAGGGTCTGGTCTAAAGTCTGAAACTCTCCAGACTTTGGAACAACAACGCCTCCTTGAGAATGTTTTTTTTTTTTTTAACATTCTGTCTGTGGCAGTGAATGATTGGTATTTTTGCTTGAATGGTTGGTCCACCGTCTGGAAGGAAAAAAACATTTAGAATAGTCCATAAATAACTGATTGAAGGAGACGTGCTTTTGTCGGCGGCAGAGACTCCGAGGAGACTGACGTGAATCATTCTGTTTGTTGTTCTGCTTCCATGTTTAGTCCCTGGTTTCACTGTTTGTCATGGTTCAGCTTATTTTGGAGATAGGTGTGACTATGTCCATTAGTATTCAGTCTATGGTGTTAACCCCTGTGTTGATTACCTGCCCTCATGTGTATCACCTGTGTCTTGTATTCAAGCCCTGTGTGTTCCGTCTCTATCAGTCTACACAGTCCCAGTCCCATAGTCCCTGCTGTCCTTGTGAGGTCTATGGAGAAGTGTAGAGGACAGTCCGGGCCAAAGAACTACAGCGCCGCGTTAGAGTGAGGTCAACTTAACTGCACAGGCTCATATCAAATTTGTCACGGGAACCGGCTGCAACTAATTTGACCAAATAAATCATTGTATTTATTTTTACCAACCGTAATCGACATGGCCAAGCCAAAGTAGCCCTATATACTCCCTGGGTCAACTGTTCAGAATATTCTAATTGTAATCAAAGGTCACTGAGCCTGAATGCAGGTCTTGACCGAAATTAAACTCTAATTGAGTTGTTTCTCAATCTGAGAGTTATAAGAGTTCAGGACCTTAAGACTAATATAAGTGTCAAATGAGCTTATATTCTTAAGGTCATGGCAGTTATAAAACTAAAACAGTACAAATAATGTGTAAGTTAGTCTGTGAGCTAACTTACACAGTCATAAAGACTGTTTAATGAACTTATATTGTTATGTTTATGGTATTCATAAAACTAATCTGTATCGAGGGAACGAGTTTCTTTAAGAAACATTAGTTAGTTGTCCGTTATTACTTTATGTGTCATTTTAAGTTATTTTGTACTTTGGTTTTTATTTTAAAATCTGTTCTGTGGGTTTGGGTTTAGTTTTACTGTCCTGCTCCCCTGTGTTGATTGTCTGCCCTGCCCTGATGTGTTTCCCCCATGTCTTTTTTACCAGTTTCAGTTTTTACTTATTGTGGCATTTCTTTATTATTTTAGCATTGCTGAATTTTTCCTTTACACCACATGACAATATGTGAAAATATAGTCATCTACAGACATTGCTCATCTTGTGTCAATGCGCTGCAAGTATCACGGTGGTGGGGGCTTTAATTAACATTAGTGTACCCAGTTTTGGTTGCTCTATATTGATTGCTAGGCAGCAGAAGGTACTCAGATGGGACTATCAGGAGTACAGGTACTGGACTCCTGCTGGGACTATGAGGAGCACAGGGACTGGCCTCCTGCTGGTCCCAGAGTCAGGACTAAACATGGGGAGACTGCGTTTCAGATATGCACTGCAAATAGAGAAGAAAAATAAGTGAAGAATTACTAAAATCCTAATTTGGACATTTAGTCATTTAGTCTGCCTTAAAACAAGATTTGCTAATGGGACAAAGCAAAATGATCTTGGAATGAGAAACTAAAGCAACACTTGAACTCAGACTAATTGGCTTCTCCCATTGCCAAATCTTGTTGTAAGACAGTAAGAATGTACTCAAATTAAGTAATTCATGCAATTTTACGTCATATTTTATAATTTTTTGCAGTATATGCAGCTAAAACCTGGAACAGTCTTCTTGAAAATATGAGACAGGCTCTGATACAATACTAAACTCTAAAACAGTTTAGTATTGTATCTTTAATCTTTTTAACGTACTGTGATTATTTATGCCATGTGTCATTGTTTGTATCTTGTTTTGCTCATCACTTTGAGTGGCCTTGTGCATGAACTGTGCCATACAAATAACCTTGTCTTGCCTTGTGTTTTGGCGGGTGAGTGTGTGTTTAGTCGCTGAAGTGTGGTGACAGAGGGCGGCTGGCTCCTGTCACCGCCGCAGAGAGGTCCGACGGCTCTGACCTGAATATGAATCAAAAGAGTCGGTGCAAAAACAAACACACAAACCCAGGTGCTCCGGCTGTGTTCCGTAAAAAAAACCAGCCAGAAACTGTGAAATGGTGTTTTGAGTGAAGGGGCGAGCGAGTGTGCAGCGTAAACAAACCCACGGGGAGTGGACTCGGAATGCGGCACGGTGGTAACGAGGCAGACTGAGGGGGAAGTGGCTGCCCGAGTGTCGGAGTGAGGTGTGAGAATAGACTGTGTACTTTGTCTCTTGTCTGTATGGACCTCTAGAGTCTGGGATGAAGCTAAATTGACTAGATACAGGCGGTGCTAACTCGCTACCTCATCCGTCCACATCGGTTTCAAATACTTTCTTTTTATCCTGGATGCCTGTATTCAAATTCATCTGTGTCCTACTTGCTGTATTATTGATCAGAGCTGTCATCTTGGACCTCATTCTGTTGATCCCAGAGTGACTCCACTGTCGTCACCGTAGCAGTCGCTTAATCCTCCTCATTCTTGGAAAAAATTGACTCATTCAAACTCGTACACTGCATTGATAATACTTTTCGCTCAAAATAAGCCATACTAAGCCGTGAAAAGCTCTCATGTCTGGGTTTTCCCGTATCGCCCATTCTATCTAATAGTAGAAAAATACTTCCTGTCCTACGGCCCCATGCCACGCCCCCTTTTGGTCACAACCCAGCAATACATATAGTGGCTGACTGATGTGTGAGAATAGACTGTGTACTCTGTGTTTTGTCTGTATGTTTTAAATTGGACCTGTAGAGTCTGTTAGAAAGTTGAATTGAATATAAGCAGACAGTGCTAACTCGCTACAGTAGCTCCTCCGTCCATATTGATTTCAGATAATCATTTGCTTAATGTATTGCTGGATGTATTAAAATTATTTTCAGGCGCATCTCTATCAATCTCAACATTCTTGGCCTGTTTTTGAAATAAAGTTGTAGGGGACAACAACAAGGAAGGAGTCAAAGGTACTGCAACTGCTACTGCAATATCCGGTCTTACTATGTATGTTTGGTCATGAGAATCAAAAACACTGAAGTAGCCAAAAGCATACACAAGACTTTATGGTTATGTCTCTGGCTGCTCCGATACCGCTCTTATTACTATTTTTCCCTCCAGATCTTACTTTTATTCACAGTGTAGTTATTACAGATCATTGGGGATAGAAACAAAGTCAGATTTATGGACATTGGTCTGTGCCCCATATGGACCAACGGCTCTATGTGCTCATTATCACTGCATTTCTTGTGTTTGAACTGGTTGATTCTCCGATGTCCGTCCGTCCATCCATTCATCCATTCATCCATTTTCTTCCCCTTAATCCATTTCTGGGTCGGGGGGGTGGCAGTCAGAGCTGCACCCAGTACACAGAGCACCAGCCCCTCACTGATCCTCCTGCAGGTGGTGAGTCCACAGGAGCTGAGATCTTTCAGTTGGAGCTTCAGGCAAAGTGTGGTTAAGTGTCTTGCCCAAGGACACAACAACAGCAGACATCAGTGGGAGTCGTGAAGTAGGTCTTACGGTGGGATTGAACCCACGACCTTCAGGCTCTAAGGCCAATGCTCTACCAACTGAGCTACTGTCGCCCCGCATTCTCCGATGTGTGTTTGTGAATCGACGAGTTTTAGAATCACAATTATTTCTATTGCCATTGTCACACTGACAAACTCGGACATTTCTTTGGCTCTCGCTGCAAAAAATGTATAAGTGTAAAAATAGAATAAGGCGTGTATGAAAAATAAATACAAAATCTACTGAGGGACATGGATGTGGCTCATGTCTATACAGCCTCGATACAGCCTCCGGTACCAGTGTACATGTTTTTAGTGGAAGGGGAAACCTAAACAGACTCAAGGAGAACATGCAAACTCCACTCAGAAAGTAAGAGCCCACAAGAAGCACACAAAATATACAATACAAGTAGCTGTAATGCTTCCTCTCTATCTAATACACGTAGGTTTACATTTGTACTGATGCAAAATTGTTGTTACTTACAGGATACACAAATATCTTCGAGGCGTGAAGGTTGACACCATGTTGTCTCCACTGGTGCCGGATCAAAGCTGCAGACTCTAGTCCCACCCCTGACGCTCTGAAGGCCAGGACAAGAAGCTCAGATTGAAGTTTGGTTTAAACAAATCTGGTCCTGATACGATCCGTGACGGCGCATCAAAATGAGTTACCGTGGTTACACCTCAGACTATGCGTATGGTACATGTTTTTAATGGTAGGGAGACACAAGGAGAACGTGCAAACTCCACTGAGAAAGGCCCTGTCTTTAGGTTCACTGCAAAAAATTGTAAAATATGACTTAATAATTGCTTGAACCGAGTGTTTTTCAATTTGAATACATTTAGTCGTAAAACAAGATTTGCCAATGGGACACAGCCATTTATTTCAAGAACTTTTGCTTTATTTTCTCATTCCAAGGAGATTATTGTCAAATCTGTGGAATCGAACCCAGCACCTTCGAGTGCCTCTAACGTATGCCTTTTGTCTGAACCTGTATCTCCCGTCCGGTTCGTGGAGCGTCTGGTGGACTCAGCCGAACCTGGTCCTCCGTCTTTCCCTTCCCACCTCCGCACAACACACTGGCTCCACAACAGCCAGGATTTAAATGGAGAGTGACTTCAAAGCCAATTATGGCCAAGAACAAGTCTGCAAAGCACCCGCAAACAAACAAAACTAATGAGTGGAGAAAGAACAAGAACAGCAGCAGAAATGAGATCCGCGATTTGCCAAAGATCACAGCGAGCAGAGAAAACGAGGTGAACAGAAGTGCACGTGTGACGCCTCGGTCTGTCCGTGTGGAGGGGGAGCTGAGGCAACTCTGGGAACTTTCATCTTGCACTGTACTTTAAAACTTCATTAGAATCTTGTCCAAACGTATTTTGAGGCAAGGATAGTACAACAAAATAAGATTCATTCATAAAATGCATTTAAATTATAAAGATTTACATCAAAAAGATGGAAGAGACGGTGGGTCAGGACTGTTTTAACCCAGGCTGGGGCAGTGGTTTGCGCCTGATCTACATGGCAAGAAGGTCCCGGGTTCGAGTTCACCACAAGACAAGGGTCTTTCTGTTTGGGGTTTGCATGTTCTGCCCGTGTCTGCGGTGACGCTACTGCAGCTGACAAAAGCCGGGCATACACTGTAAAAGGCAGCTGCAGGGGACACCGCTCCGAAAGGCAGGAAGACCACAGAGGGAGCAGAGAGAGAGACCAGAGAGAGCACAGAGAGAGCAGAGAAAGAGCAGAGATAGAATCCATCCATTTTCTTCCCCTTAATCCATTTCTGGGTTGGGGGGTGGCAGTCAGAGCTGCAGCCAGTCCACTTAGCACCAACCCCTCACTAATCCTCCTGCAGGTGGTGAGTCCACAGGAGCTGAGATCTTTCAGAGGGAGCTTCAGGCAAAGTGGAGTTAAGTGTCTTGCCCAAGGACACAACGACAGCAGTCATCAGTGGGAGTCGAGAAGTAGGTCTTATGGTGGGCTTGAACCCACGACCTTCAGGCCCAAAGGCCAATGCTCTACCAACTGAGCTACTGTTGCCCCTAGATAGAAACCAGAGAGAGAAAACAGAGGGAGACCAAAGAGAGCAGAGAGAGAGATTGGAGAGAGACAGCAGAGAGAGAGCAGAGAGAGAGCAGAGAGAGAGCAGAGAAGGAGCAGAGAGAGAGAGCGAGAGAGAGAAAAAAAGGCTAGAGATAGGGACAAGCATGCACAAAATTAAAATTCCATGTTAAGGTAATGACAACTTAATAACCTGCTAAGAAAGCCAGATTACCTCCATAAACTATCCCACAATAGTCTGGGAATACAGTTAATAATATGCATCAATGTTGTGTTTCGAACCACGTCGGCACTGAGGATAATAAAATATTGATTTGCGCTGTCAGCAAAGAAACAATATGTAATCGATGGCCGGCATTAGAATCCGGCGTCCGTCGGGTTGGATCCTGGTCTGCCCTGTGATCTCACACAACACAATGCGCTCTCGTGAACCAACGGCGCTTGCTATTCTCGGCTCATTTGTCGTGTAGAGTAGAAGTTGTTGATTAAACGTTGACAGAGCAGCCTCCGCGCTCGCCGGAGCAGTGGAGCAGACATATATTTGTTTTCAGTAATTGCCTCGAGTTTCACTTCTCTTCATATCAATGCAGCTGCGTGTGCCTCCCAGGAAATAGTCCAGCACCTTATTGATTGTGTGTTAATTGGTTGGAAGCATCACAGCAAAAAAGGATCAAATATGAGGTAATAATTGGTGAATCGAGTGGTTTTTATCTTCATTTGTGCACATTCTGACTGTCGTAAAACAAGATTCTCCAATAGGACAAAGCCATTTAGTCTTATTTCAAGAAGGTTTGCTGTATTTTCTTTTTCCAACACTGCAAAAAATGATCAAATATGAGATCATAATTGCTAGAATCAAGTTTTTTTAACTTGACTTAAGTTCATTCTGACTGTCTTAAAATGAGATTTGCCAATGAGACAGGCAATTTTGACTTGATTCAAGAACTATTGCTTTATTTTGTCATTCCAAGAGAGAAATATCTTGTATCTTTTTAAAACAATATCATTTTTCTTGTTCCACTGGCAAATCTTGTTTTAAGGCAGTCAAAATGTGCTCATATTTAGATACATTTAGCCAAATTTGAGCATTTTTTGTCTTTAATTCTGTCATCTTTTGCAGTGAAGGGAGACATTACTTGTATCTTTTCAAAACAAGATCATTTTGCTTTGTCCCAATCCTGGCAAATCTTGTTTAAAGCCTCAGTCATAAACATACAATTTGCCAAATTTGAGCGATTGTTGACTTATTTTTCGCCTTCTCTACGACTCCCACTGAAGTTTGCTGTTGTTGTGTCTTTAGGCAAGCGCAAGACACTTAACCCCATTTTTCCTGAAGCCCCCACTGAAAGATCAAGGCTGTGATGTCACTGACAGAGATAATAGAAATAAAAATTAGAATAAGGAGAAGAAAATGGATGGATGCATTTTCACCACTTTTTATAGCACTAGTTACAGTTCATTACATAGCCACATCCACCAAATTAGCATGTATTTACAGTGGGGCTATAAAGTATTTAGACAGCCCCAAATTGCTCAAGTTCTTCCGCTTAGATAAGAAAACTCGCCCTTGCTGCTTATGGAAGGAGATTTTCCCTTCAAATCTCTCGACACATGTTTCCATTCATTCTTTCCTCAACACAGATCTCTTATCCTGGTGTCTTTGCAGAAAAAACAGCCCCGAGCATGATGTTTCCACCCCCATGCTTCACAGTAGATATTGTGTTTGCATTTGTTCTCCTCCAAACACAAGAAGCATAATGATGTCTTGTCTGTGATAAAGTCCTGTGTCCTGAATGTTCAAGGATAACGTTTTTGCACTTCCCTCTTCAGTTCATGTGCAGACCATAATAAATGTTACATGTGACTCTTTATTTTCCTTCAATAACATCAGGGGCTTTGTTTTGACATAGTCCTATATATAAAGTATTGTATCTTGGCAATTAAATAGAATGAGGCGTTTTCTTTTATCTGTGGTATTTCGTCATTAATGAAACTCAGGATAAATATGTCTTTATCGCCTTCAAACTTCTTCACACTTTTGTGCCTAAGTTTCTTCAGAGCCTGGTTTTTCTCTCTCTGCTGTTGAGGGCGATTAGAAAACAAAGTGAAACTAATGTGGATGTCATTGTGGATGGGGAAAGTTGGTGGTTTGGCACACACAAAGGTCTGTTTGCAACACTCCGTGGCCCAAAATAATGGGATTCAGTGACATTTCCGGATTGATTGATCGAGTGTCTGCGTCTCCGCTTCCCCTTTAAAAGCGAAGGACATTTTTCATGGAACAACGGCACTTTATTGAATAAGTCCAGTCGCATTTAATAAACCTGATGTCGCAGAAGAAAAACAAGGGTTAGGGTAAAATTAGAAAGATGATTCTGAGCCAAGGAACCCTCAGAGCAGTTGCAATAAAAAACAATTTAGCTAGGGGCAGAGATAGAGGTCGCACCTGGGTGAGGCTGGTCTGCATAAAGAGATGTTATAATAATAATAATAACCACAATGCATCTGTTCTATGTATAGCGCATTTCAAGACACTCAAAGACGCTTAACATGTCATTATTCATTCACTCAAAAAAACTGTGGAGATAAACGTTTTGTAGCCACAGCTGCCCTGGGGCACACTGACAGAAGCAAGGCATCAAGTATATGCCATTGGCACCTCCCACCACCACCAACCGTTCACACACACACACACCAAACTCATTCTATTGTGGGTGAAGTGTCTTGCCTAAGGACGCAACAACAGATTGGCACTTTTCAGCCACAGCCACCCCACTTTAGCACCTGGTGTTTCCAGAGGTCTCCCATCACAGTACTAACCAGCCCCTGCCCCACTTAGCTTCTGATGTCTGCTGGGATCTGGTAGAGGAAAACAACAATGCCATTGAATCCAGTGTTTATATTTCCTCGTCCATTAGTGTTTATATGAAGACATGGTACATACTGTGGTAGTCTTGCACAGTTTTTCCAAAGTGGTTTTACTGCAAACGGCAAATAAATCTTGAATTCTTGAGTTTTGAATTATTTTTTCTGGTATTTTTCTGTGCAGTTGCTTGGATTGTTGCTTATTTTAACCTTTTTGCAGTGACTAATTATTGCACTAACAGTTCAGTGTTCATAGTAAACTAAATGGTGTGTTACAGTTGTGTGTTGGATCAAAAATGATTTAATTCCAAAATACAAAAACAAGCAGGAAGTGAAAAGGGCCGGATGTTTGGACACAGGACTAAATACTGTGAGCAAAAGCACAAAAGGAAAAGTTGGATAAAAACTCACCATCTGACTGAGACATGGGATTATCTGAGAAGTTGAGTCTGAACCAGAGTATGGGTGACAGGGAGACCAGGGACCGTTGTGAGACAGGTTTGTTTTACTCTACTGATGATGTGCATCTTTGAATGTCCGGAAAAGCGCTACACGAAACAGTATTATTATTATTATTATTATTATGGATTTAGTTGATGACGTAAAGCTCTGTACCTTTGGATCTGACACTTAAAAAGTATTAGTTTGTAACATAGTGTAGAAAATCATTCTTTACGCACCAGAGCCACCAGGAAGTTTATTCTCAGTTTCTTTCAGTTTTTTTTTAGACAGAAAAAAGTCAGGACAAGCTTTATATAGTCAATGTTACGTCACACATGGAACGACATACGTGTCACATCAAAACACAATCAGAACATATTAGAGTCATAACACAGGTGACAGTGGCTCAGTTGGTAGAGCAGTGTCTCCCAAAGTGGGGTCCGCGGCCCCCTGGTGGGCCGCGAGGGTACTGCAGGGGGGCCGCGGGAGGTCATAAAAAAAAAAAAAAAAAATTTAATGTTAAATTTATAATCTTTTGTTTGTAATATTGAAATATTTGTGTTCATTATTTGACTTGAATAATCCACTGTAATCATTTTTGTATTACAATGTTTGTAGCAGAGGCTATTTCCCCAAAATAAAATAACCAGAAGAGCCTATTCTTAATGTTGTCTTCTTGGTTATTATTCTGGGGGGCCACGCAGACCCGTCAGATTTTTAAGGGGGCCTCGGTGTTACTGAGTTTGGGAATGGCTGTGGTAGAGCATTGGCCTTTGGGCCTGAAGGTTGTGGGTTCGAGGCCACCACAGAACCTTCTCCACCGACTCCCACTGTATGTTGTCGTTGTGTCCTTTGGCAAGACACTTAACCTCTGGGAACACCTGATGCCACAGTGGGGCGGCTGTAAAGTGCCAAACTGCTGTTGTGTCTTTAGGCGAATTGCCTTGAATGAGTCTGGTGTGTCTGTGAATGGTTGACACAGACTGTCACAGACTGTTTGCCTTGCTTCCGTCAGTGTGCTCCAGGGCAGCTGTGGCTACAGTAGGAATTTGTCACCACTGTGTATGGAGTGAAAGAATAATGATGGAGTGTCCAAAAAGCGCTATAAAAACCGATGCATTATTTTAACATGGATACACAATCAGAGTGGACGCACAATCGGAGTCCTTGTCTATCTTTTTCCCATAATAGCTACCATTTCTCCATTCATATTTCTGCTCTTCCTGCTCTTGTAAGATTTGTTGATGTTATTTCTCCATGGTTAACAATGCTGCTAAACCACAAAGCCTTCACAAACGTGTATTGAATCGTCGAGAGGCCTGGAACAAAGTGGACAATAATTGGCCGGTCTCCTCCAGCCTCGTTCACACAAACCGTCGAGTTTTGAGGTTCGCTTACGGGCAGTTTCCTTCTACAGACGCTAGAGCTTTGTGTTGAAACATAAGAGTTCTGTTCTGTGTCTCTGTGATGTGGGCTCCTGGGGGCCTCTCCCTGTGGGTGTCATTACAGCCGCAGTCGGCCTCCACAGACCTCGGGGTTCAGTGAATGTGCAGCTCTGACCCGGGCGGCTTTTATGTCCGACAAACTGACTGTGGATATTTCCCCTCCTGCTGTATCACTGATGGGTGTTCAAGATTGAAGATGTTTTGGTTTGTTTGTTGTTTGCAGTAAAACCACATTAGAAAAACTGTGCAAGGCAAGCCCAGTGTGCGCCCCACAGAGAAGATAGTACACACCAGAGCTCCACGAGTGACGGAATGAAAAAAAGATGACGACCAGATGAACATAAGTAAATACAAGTCCAGGGTAAAAACAAACCAAAAATCCAAACAAACTCAGAAACATAGACAGACAAAGAGAAAGATAATGGACCAGCAACACGTGGAGACGAGCACAGGTACATACAGTATAGAGTTTCGTTCGGGCCTGAAAAATGAAGCCCGACCCGGCCCGAGCCCGCTAATGTTAAGCCCGAGCCCGTATAAGCCCGACCAATGAACGCTGTATAACAGGCCCGAGCCCGACAGAACCCGACACATCTGATTTCCCGTTGTACGCACTCACCTTCCAATTGCAAGTTTAGTCTCCAGTTTTGAATTTGTTTTGTCTCCACTTGATCCATTTCTACTATTGTTCCTGTTCGCTGTTGACCACAGCAGCAGGAGACACGGGGATGATGCGTTCACGGCTCGCTGCTGCTGTAGGACACGCTGGTTACGGTGTCATTAATATATTAACTATTTTTAATAACTTGTTGTCAATCAACGGACATTGTTATTAATATATATATATATATATATATATATATATATATAATCATTATGTATAAAAATCATTTAAAAATAATTATAATAATAATAAAAAAGAAACATATATTTAAAAAAAGAAGCCCGAGCCCGGAACGAACCCGACAGCTGAGCGCCAAATGAGGCCCGAGCCCGGCCCGAACTCAGGTCGTGCCTCGGGCCTGCTCGGGCTCGGGCTGAAAAGCGAAACTCTAATACAGTATAGACACACAGAGACACAGGTACATATGGACACAGAGACACAGGTACACATATAGACACACAAAGACACAGGTACATACAGTATAGACACACACAGGTACACATAGATACGCAGAGACACAGGTACATATATACACACAGGTACATATAGATACACAGAGACACAGGTACATATAATAATCTTTATTTGTATAGCACTTTTAAAAAACACACAGGTACATATAGACACACAGAGACACAGGTACATATATACACACAGGTACATGTATACACACAGGTACATATAGATACACAGAGACACAGGTACACATAGATACACAGAGACACAGGTACATATAGATACGCAGAGACACAGGTACATATAGATACGCAGAGACACAGGTACATATAGATACGCAGAGACACAGGTACATATAGATACGCAGAGACACAGGTACATATAGATACGCAGAGACACAGGTACATATATACACACAGGTACATGTATACACACAGGTACATATAGATACACAGAGACACAGGTACACATAGATACACAGAGACACAGGTACATATAGATACGCAGAGACACAGGTACATATAGATACGCAGAGACACAGGTACATATAGATACGCAGAGACACAGGTACATATAGATACGCAGAGACACAGGTACATATAGATACGCAGAGACACAGGTACATATAGATACGCAGAGACACAGGTATATGTCACAGGTTAAAAAGTGTCTGTTGAGGGGGTGTGATCAATAATACAGGAAGAGGATAAAAAGGGGATAAAATGTAATAAAATATTTACAAAAGGTCCATTAAAATCGTGATAAAACCCGTAGTCCGCGGGACACCGGTGTCCTCCCTGGCCTTGGTTCCCTCCAGGCCCTTCTCCGTCCCGGGACCGGGCTGCAGTCCCGCCAGCCCCTTGCAGACCACGGGTTGCCACCGGGCACCTGCGGGGAAGAGCCGGCACATCCCGGTTTTCGGTGGGCCTAGCCCGGGCGCGCACGCGGCTCCACGCACTATCAATGCGCGCCCCCTCACCGGTGCCGCTCTCCCCGCTGGCCTCAGTCCCCCGTGGTCTCTGGCTAGCGGTCCTCGTCCTTGGCCCGGTCCCGTGGCCTCTTCCTCTCTCGTGCTCTGTTGTCTCCCTCGTGCTCTGTCCTCCCGCCTGTAGTGCCCGCCCCCAATTTAAGATAGTCTTGATTAGAAGCAGGTGTGGGTGATTAGGGGAAGTGTCCAAGGAACTGATTAAAATCCATGCAATAAAAATATAAAAAACACACAAAACACATCACACAAATAAAAGCAGTTAAAAGTCCTTGTTAAAAGTTCACTTTCCCACACATATAGACACACAGAGACACAGGTACATATAGACACACAGAGACACAGGTACATATAGACACACAGAGACGTTGGTGATAACACATTCGGGCGGGGCAGACAATCAACAGGGAACCAGACAGGAGGTAAAACTAAACTAAAGCCATAGAGAAACTAACACAAAATAAAACCACAAAATCTACGCTATTACAGATATTGAAAGGAGCCAGTTGACTTTTTTAATCTTTACCTTTAAACATTGCATTATACAGAAACAATAATTACCATTGTTTTTTTGTGTGTGTGCGTGTGCGTTTGCGCCTGCGTGTGTGCGTGCGTGTGTGTGTGCATATATGTAGGTCACTGTTATTTCTGGATATTGCCATAAAGTTAGTAAATGTAGTTATTGATTGTAACAATGTGAGGACGTAGTGTGACCTCTCTGTCCTCTCTCTCTGCAGCAAAACCCGTGAACAATGCTCGGGTGCTGACGGTGCAGGCGGGCTCCAAGGCCGTGGTGGTGGCTCAGTGCGAGGCCCTGGAAGGGAAGCCTGCGGCCAGCATCAACTGGCTGGGCTCCGTGGGAGGTAACCACTCCACCAGCAGCAGCAGCGGTCCAGACGGGACGGTGACAGTGAAGAGCGAGTACAAACTGGTCCCCACACCGGCGGACAACGGGCGCGAGCTGACCTGCCTCGTGGACCAGAGGACCCAAGACCAGACCTGGGTCTACCCCGTCAAGCTGTCCGTGGAATGTAAGTGACGGAACTTTCGATTCAACGTATTTCTCTAAAGCCCTAAATCACAACAGCAGTTATCTTCAGAGAACTTCAGAGATTTAGATTTAGAGTATTTGCCATTAGCAGCAAAACCACATTGGAATACATGTGCAATGATACAGCTTGTGGAAAGAAACTTATAGCATATCCAGATGTTCTGCATCTCAGCGAACAAGATCTTCTGCCAGAGGGAACATGGCTGGAACATGGCTTTTCCCGGCTGCTAGAAGAGGTCTGACGGGATCTGAAAAAATCTCTTTTGTGTTTTAAGAGTCTTGATTCATAAATAACCTCCAGAACAAACTGCTCTTTCAGAGCGGAGCACCTCTCTCTGGTCTCTCTCTGGTCTCTCTCTCTGGTCTCTCTCTCTGTTCCCTCTCTCTGGTCTCTCTCTGGTCTCTCTCTGATGCCTCTCTGATGCCTCTCTCTGGTCTCTCTCTGGTCTCTCTCTCTGTTCCCTCTCTCTGGTCTCTCTCTGGTCTCTCTCTGTTTCCTCTCTCTGGTCTCTCTCTCTGGTCTCTCTCTGGTCTCTCTCTCTGTTCCCTCTCTCTGGTCTCTCTCTGGTCTCTCTCTGATGCCTCTCTGATGCCTCTGTCTGGTCTCTCTCTGGTCTCTCTCTGATGCCTCTCTGATGCCTCTCTCTGGTCTCTCTCTGGTCTCTCTCTGGTCTCTCTCTGATGCCTCTCTGATGCCTCTCTGGTCTCTCTCTGGTCTCTCTCTGGTCTCTCTCTGATGCCTCTCTCTGGTCTCTCTCTCGTCTCTCTCTGATGCCTCTCTGATGCCTCTCTGGTCTCTCTCTGGTCTCTCTCTGGTCTCTCTCTGATGCCTCTTTCTGATGCCTCTCTCTGGTGTCTCTCTGGTCTCTCTCTGGTCTCTCTCTGGTCTTGATATTGAGAGCTTTGACTTGTTTGTGAATAAGTCCAATATAGTCCTAGATGAAACACGGGCATCCACTAGATGGGGTACATTCTGGTTATCTTTCACTCAAAAGGTCACGTTTATCTATATATTCATTACTGGAGAAATGCCAAACATAATATGGAGTGAGCACGCGGTGGAGTGAGCACGCGTTTTGACGTCTCTGCTCTGTTTACCCTTTTTAAGCCTTTTAAAGCCTTTTAAACACGTTTTTACGGTGTATTAGTGTCTTTGGTACACTCTAGTGTTTTATTACCTTAAATGCAATGGTTCCAGAGCATCACGTCTTTTAACACAAAGACCCAATCGAAACGCGCTAGCTCGGAGGCTACCACGAGCGCACCACAGACATGGAAAGTGACACTGCAATGACCACGAACGACATAAGTCGCCTCACATTGGAGCTTCGTGAGAGGGACCGTGCCACTATTGCAGACCTCCGTAAAGAAGTCCTTCGCCTCACTGCAGAGCTGCAGGATAAACAGTCACTCGTGTCCAAACTTTTTGATGTCGCTGGCGGGCAGCACTCACGGCTTATGTCACTGAGCGCTGCATACTGTGACACTGTCGTGTGGGAGAGATCTGTCAGCTCTGGGCCCTCTTGTTCTACACCTAAGTGCCCCGTTCGGAATAAAGAGCCTGCGGACTGCGAGGAGCCATCCAGCGCCGTGGCCCATGTCCTGAGCCTGTCAAACCGCTATGCAGCCCTCTCCGCTGACATCCCAGCCCCCTCAGCAGAACCCCTGGACTCTGCAGCAAACTCTACTGCTGTCCGTGGATCCAGGTCCACTGCGAGAAAGACACTCCTAAAGGAAGCTGTCCTCAGACGAAAGAGTGGTCATTCCCCTTCTCTGACCCCAGTGCATCACCACCACTTACCTTCACCGGGTCAGCAGCAGCGACCCGAGCCTGCTCCTCTCGCTGCTCCAGCGTCTCCGTGCACACAGCGTGGGTTGCCCGGAGCTGGGAATCAACATCCCCACTCCTCTCCATGTGTTCAGCAGCGCCCTGGTTCGGACCCATCCCTGGATGAGCCCGCTGGTTCTGGCCATGGACACAGAGCGCCCTCTCCGCGGCCGCGTCCACTCTTCGCCCCGACTACTCTGATTGTTGGAAATTCCATCGTGAGGCACGTCCGCTTTTTTAACGCGGTCACTCACTGCATTACCGGAGCTACTGTCCCAGATCTGCTCATCCGACTCCCTCCTCTGCTTCACTCCCTGCCCGATACCATATCCAAGGTAATCGTGCATGTGGGTATAAATGATATGAAGCTGCAGCAGTCAGAGGTCACAAAGAAGCACTTTATGGATCTGTTCCGCCTCCTCCAGTCCTCCGGGTTATCCGTTTTTATTTCTGGTCCAGTCCCGACTGTAAACCGGGGAGACTGCTTGTACAGTCGCGTTGTGGCGCTCAACATGTGGCTCCAGGCTACATGCAGCACTTTTAACTTTATTTTTGTGAACAACTTTGGCCTGTTCTGGAAGCGTAACGTGGCCTATCGTCCAGATGGTCTGCACCCGAACAGATACGGCACCAGTTTGTTGACGGACTTCTTACGCCATGTTGTTCAGTGCTCCCCGAGGGGGGCGTGACTGTTTACATCTGAGGCTTCTCGGCCCCCACCACCCCCCTCCTCCTCCTTACCAGCACCGGGTGAGTACTGTGGTGCAAACACTGACCCCTGTCCGTCTGGCAGTGTAACGACAGTCCTGCCACTGAACTGTGCTGACTCAGTTATGCATCTGGAACTTAACAAAGTACAACAGAGTTCACTTTTTAAACCAATAGAGACTGTGTGTGTTCCTCGCACCAGCTCAGAAATGTGTTTTAACTTGAATAAACACAAATTTAAAAGAAGGACAGCAGTTAGACGGTCCAACTCTGGAAATCTAATTCCAGTTCTTTGTAATCAATCAACTAAACCCACTGACACTGATATTAATTTTAACCTTGCTCTACTTAATGTCAGATCACTATGCAACAAATCATTTTTAATTAATAATTTTATCTGTTCGTATGATCTTGATTTAATGTTTATGACTGAAACATGGCTTGACCATAATACAGGAGATGCAGTTTTAATAGAAGCCTCACCACCAAATTTCAAATTTGAATATGAAACACGAGAAAATAAAAGGGGGGGGGGGCATAGCAGCAGTTTTTAAAGATCGTATTGTCTCCCATAGAGTGTCTCTTGGGAAATTTTCATCATTTGAGTATGTTTCTTTTAAAATAGAACAAAAGAAATCTTCTTCCATTCTTATTATTGTTGTGTACAAGCCGCCACAGTCATGCCATAGTTTCACTGATCATTTCACTGAGTTGCTTTCAGTTGTGTGCACAGATTTTGATGGTTTAGTCATTATAGGTGATTTCAATATACATGTAGATAATGCTAATGATAGATATGCAATAGAGCTGAGCTCTGTGCTGGAAACCTTTGGTCTCACTCAGCATGTGAGTGGCCCCACCCACAGCAGAGGACACACTCTCGATCTGTTAATTACCAAGGGGGTTAATATTTCAAATGTAAATGTGGTCAATGTTGCTCTGTCTGATCATTTCTGTGTATTTTTTGACATGTGTCTCGATTGTAAACCACCAGCTGAATCTTCGGTTGTTAGAAGAAGACACATAAATGATAATACAGGCGAACTGTTCATGGGGAGGGTAAACTTTAGAGAACACGTTGTGTGTTACTGTAGATGAATTACTTGACTCTGTCACCACCACTGTTTTGAATGTTCTGGATACAATTGCTCCTGTAAAGGTTAAAATAGTTACAAACAAGCAAAAAGCGCCATGGACTAAAGCAGACTCGGTCAGGGCACAGAAGAGAGAGTGCCGGAAGGCCGAGCGGAAGTGGCGAAAGTCAAATCTCAAAGTTGACCATAAGATCTTCAAAGATGCGTTGTGCAATTTTAACAGGGAACTACGTAGAACAAGGGAAATGTACTTTTCTGAAACTATTGAAGGCTGTAGCAACAATCTACGTGTTCTGTTTTCAGCAGTAAATAGATTGACGAATCCCCCTGTTAAGATGCCATCAGAACTTACTTCCAAATCTAAATGTAATGAGTTTGCTCAGTTCTTTAATGACAAAGTCCAAGGTATCAAAAACGCCATCACCTCCACGATAGAAATAATAATCCAACCGCCAGTGAGGCTTTTTGGGCTGACGCACTTTACACCAGTACAAATTGAAACTGTCCAGGAGATAATCACTAGTCTGAGTTCCTCCACATGCAGCCTGGATGTATTACCTCCTAGATTTCTCAAGTCAGTTCTGAGCAGTCTTTTACCTTCACTTACACAAATAGTTAATATGTCTCTTGAATCTGGAACATTCCCAATGGCCTTGAAAACGCCGGTCATCAGGCCCCTCCTAAAAAAGAGGAGTCTGGAAGCCCTGGCACTCAAAAATTATCGGCCCATTTCAAATCTGCCTTTCATGGGAAAAATTCTAGAAAAAGTTGCCTATCAACAACTTACAGAATTTTTAATAATCAATAACGCTTATGATATGTTCCAGTCAGGGTTTAGACCCCACCACAGCACTGAGACCGCGCTAATAAAGGTAACAAATGACATCAAACTAAACACTGACGCAGGAAAAGTCTCAGTCCTTTTTCTGTTAGATTTAAGTGCTGCTTTTGACACTATTGATCATGGCATCCTCATTCAGAGACTTGAGGACTGGGTTGGTGTTGCTGGCACCGCCCTAAGCTGGTTTAGGTCCTATTTACAAGACAGAAAGTTTTTTGTGGAGATCGAAAACTGTACCTCAGACCACTTGGCCCTGACCTGCGGAGTGCCACAGGGGTCAATCCTGGGTCCTCTTCTGTTTAATATTTACATGTTGCCTCTAGGTCAGTTGATTCACAGTAATAATGTCTCTTATCACAATTACGCTGACGATACTCAGGTCTATGTGTCCCTGACAGCAGGAGAGCATGAACCAGTGGACTCGCTCCTTCACTGTGTCCAGCAAATCGGTGATTGGATGCAAAATAACTTTCTCCAACTAAACACCGACAAAACTGAAATAATTGTTT